CAAATGGCTGACTTGGGCTAGCGGGCCTGTCCCCAGACTGAGGATGATAGCTGTCTTTGCCTTGATCATTTTCTCGAGCCATTTCTTGCGGACGGCCGCGGAAGTTTCATTGGGTTCTGCAGTAAACCCTAACAGTTCGATGTCGTTCCTGCGGATAAAGGCATAAGTACGACGTCGCCAATGGATGAAGTCTGAAGATCCCGTGAGCTTGAGCAACTTTGTCACAGGGTCTCGCTCATCAGACATGATGAACGTATTTCGTCAGTTCTATTTCGTACTCTTGCGATGCTACCATGCAAGTAAAACTCTGCTCCCCTCTCCCCCTCCTGGGTAAGAGAGTCTCGTGAGCTCTTTTATTGATAACTACAGTAGCGGTAGCATTACATCTGAGTGTCCCTCTTGGACACCTGTCTTGCACCTCCGAGGTGCCCGGTATCCTCATAAGATATTAAATCAAAGTTCCATTCTCGAACAGTAGTAACCCCCACCTGGGGCATTTTTTGGATCCGCACTGGAGAGCCTTCACAACCTTCACTTCGAAAGTACTGTACATAAGTGTCGGGTTGGCTTCGACTAGCGAAGGTCGGACTACAAACACGAACCCCAGAAATATTTGAGCAGCTGCACGCACACCTACTGTACATGGCTCGGATGTCGAGTCAGTAAACACAAATACCGGACGTCGGTATTTTGCTTGTCATATATTTCAGAGTACAGTACAGTCGATGTCCCTTAATATGCGCTAGTATGGACAGAGGTCATTGCTGCGCATATTGCGGGCATGCGCATATTGCGGGAGTCTGCTCTGAGAGCCTCTCAGGGACGATTTTTTAAAGCAGACGGCCAAGTGCACCATCGGCTTCTATATGTGTATTCAGTAGTTTATGGAACCCTCATTTAATTGCTCTTTCTGGGGAAGTAATCTGCAATAACGGCCTGTCGATTGCAACATGGTTCTCTCTCGCGCCGGATGCATATAAACGATTGCTTCGCAATTCGTAAGCCACGCAATGCTCCCTGAGCGTCAGAATCCAGCGCGAATTGCTCAAGATCTGCCAACATGCGACTGAGTTCTAGTAACCTGGGAACTTCCTTTGGCACACCCTCAGCAGCATTTTCATCCTCTTCTTCAGGATCCCCTTCATCGACGTCTTTGGGATCCTGAGGTTGCCCACGAGAAATAACGCCCTGAACGACACCCTCTATGTCCGCAATATTCTCAGCCGCGTCGTTACCCAGCGCTTCGACCACTTCTTCGAGCTCTTCCAGGCGTATCCACTGTCTGATGTCTGCACCCCTCTGCACTGCATCAACTCCTGTCCCTTCAAAGGCCGAAATATCGAGTTTCATGATGCACTCGATCATTTTTTCGTAGTCTTGCGCGAGCGCGCATGATTCAGCATCGTCATTTACCTCTGCAGTCCCGTACATGTCCCGGATCTGCTTGTTGACGCCAGGAGATAGCGTTCGCGCCTTCAACCAACATTTTGCAATAGAGATAGGCTCCAGCTCTTTCCAGCACTCAACTAGAATTTGCATTGCGTCCAGAACGTGCGCAGAATAACCCTCAGCAATTCCTCCAGTACCAGGCGTTCGTCTCTTATACATCTCGCGTAGCTCTTCGCGCTCAGCAAACACCTCCGTTGATTGGCGCAGAAGAACATGACGATATCGCACTTTCACAGCTGCGATGATGCCCATATCCATGGGCTGGTGCACGCTGGTGCAATTTGGGGGATAGAACTCAACTCTCACTTGCCCGCGGGGATCCGTGATATCCATATGGGAGCCAGCATTATCCATGAGCAAGAGGACTTTATTAGAGGTTACACAGCGAACATGCACTAGAAAGACTTTGTGAAACCACACTTGGAAGCATTGTCCGTCCATCCATGCATTTTTTTGCGCCTGGTAGTGCATTGGAGTAGCTCGAAGGCGAAAACACTTCGGGTTCTTCGATTTGCCGATGGCAAAGAGACCAACTTTTCGCGAACCTGAAGCATTCGTGGCCACCATAAATGTGAAACGGTCCTTTGCTCGCATTCCCTTGATACCTCTCGCCGACTTTTTCTCCCCTGGGAGTACGTATGTCACTTTCGGAAACATGCAAAGTTGGCATCCGCTCTCGTCTGTGTTGTAGATGTCGTCTGGGTTGTACAAGGAGCTGATGGATCTGATCTCGTGCATACGTTTCTTGATTTGTTCATTATTGACGGATCCAGCTTCCCCATGCAGCCGTTTACTCTGAAGGCCACATCTCCCAATGAAATTTCGTACGTACTTTAAAGAGACCTTGCACTTTTTTAGGTGCTCCTTTCTCTCGGAAGTCATTGCTTTATCGTCAATAAGCGTCCGGCAGATCTTCTCTGCGTTCGCTTGCAACACATGCAACGTTAACGGCATACAGGCCTTCCGGTATCGTTTTGTGAGCTCCAATAAAGCCTCATCGACCTCTGGGTACATCGCCGGACGAACGCCTTTATGGTTGAAGTTCAGCACCCCCTTGCGCAGCTTGTTTCGGCGGGCGTAGATCCTGTTCACGCTACTAATAGTAGTGTTAAACCGTGACGCAAGATCTTGCGAGCGAGCACCACTCTCTTTCGCACGCACGATGGTAAGCTGCTGCTTCATGTTGAGCCGAGTTCTTTTGCCACTCTGCCGTTTGCGAGCAGCAGTTTGTTTTGATATTTTCTTTGGGACAGTGCCGTTCCAGTTCAACTTCGTCTGACTAGACCGCACGCTCAGCTGGGCCAAGATGGATGATCCGGCAACCGGCTCGTCTGATGCTCTCTCATCTAGGTAGTCGATGTCGACGCACTCGTCATCGACAAGATTCATGACTTCTTCGTCCGAAGGGATAGCATTCACAACCACAGATATCGGACGCACGCCACAATCGTAACACGCAGAGCAAATGCATAGGCAAGATGAACCTTCTTCGTGGCCGGACTCACGACCGCAGATGGCATGCATTGGAACCTTGCACCCAAGGCATCGGTGGCCAGAGGTTGAGGGAACAGCGCGGTTCCGCCGACCCTTGTCATCCCACCCCTGGCACCCATCGCCTTCCGCACAGATGATCATCTGGAGGTGTCGATCGTCAGTCCTTTGTTGAATATCGCTGGTGTCGAAAGTGAATCAGGACTTGTGTGTGTTACTGTAGCTATGGTCCCCGCTCAGTTTCCGGTCATTTATTTCCCATATAACCAATCAGAGCAGTGTATATTCCCAACCCCTTCTGAGAGGCTCTGAGGGGCCCTAAATACGGACACGAGGATTCGCTGCGCATATCGCGGGCAATGGGGATAATCGGGGACGCATATTAAGGTACATCGACTGTATCTACACTCCACGCATTGGGGAGGAGAGGGGAATCAAGGAGGGAAGCCAGGGAAAAGTAAAACAAACAGCAACGCCCCAAACATCATGTTGACACAATCGCTTTGCTGGCAGGACTGTGGCTCAACGTATCGTACTCTTGCTGGCAGCAGTGTAAAAAGCCGCTCAAACAGCGTCGTGCATCGGCGCCGCCCAGAAACGGGCGGCGGGTCCCCTCCGAGCACGTGGGCCGCCCCCCTGTGCCGTGGAGCAGCTCCGCAGAGCAGCTCCGCGTCGCTCTTCGGGGCGCCCCACTCGGGCCTCACCTCGCCACGCGGCGGGGCGCGTTACGAGCGTGCATCCAATCGCGGGAGCGTCTTGCAGCGTCGCGGGGGGACCGTGCGCGGTCCGCTGACGAGGGCATATCGACTGGGCCCACATCCAGTTGCTTCATCTGTCTGAAACGGTTTCGACCAAAGTCATAGAAACACGAATAAAGTAGACCCTGTCTCAGGTCCACGACGAGCTCTCTCAAGTTTGATTGCTTCCAGAGCTGGTGGCCACGCAATCCGACAATTCGACCATAAGCTGTCTCTGGCTTGGGTTTTTTGCACACCTACAGTACAACAAATCAGTCAAAATACTGAATGTTTGAATTTTTGCCTCTGTCCCAATCTCGTCTCCAAAAGAAGCTCTTGATCGCTTTTACTTTCGGGAGGCACGCGCTTGTCCTTGCTGTACTTCCTATACATTGCTGGACATCATTGTTTGCTCTAATCCTTGCCGAACGAACAAGCAAACAGCAGCTGCCAAGCAACATTTGAGACGTAAGCTGTTCACAAATCACATGTACTGTGCGTGAAAAGACACGTCTTCGCATAAACTCGAAAGGTTTTGCTGTGTAGCTTTATGTTTGGAGTATCTAGAAGTTTCGTTGTGCAACAAACAAGTATCCTCGCAAAAAATTTCGTGAGGGATAAGCAAAACAAACCCTTCCTTCTTCTATAACCACTGCATCAAATTGAAAACCGGGTTGGTGTTTCAAGTAGAGAGAACGACATATCGTGGTTTTGCTCCACACAAAAACCAAAAACGAACTAGCTGAACTTAGCCGCAAGCCCTCCAATCCTTTGAATGGCTACGTTCACAGATAAACCAGAGCAAACGTTGCGTAGCCGTTTAGACCAAAGGAGTGGATACACGACGGTTCTTTATATGGTATATGCTTACTCACTTAGGAGCCATTTGCAGGCGAGGACCCTGATTTTGCACAAGACCCCGACATTGCAATATTTTTAAGGGCACTGACTTCCTCTTTATTGAACGTTTTGGTCTTCTTCATAAATCCAGTCAACACTAAGTACAGTAGGTTCTTGTCCTTTATGAGATATTCTGAGAGCGTCTAGAGTTGCCAGCCGCTGAAGCAGCCCAGTCAGAGATGCGTCACTGCTTCTCTATGTCAAATTGCACCCAAACACGAAATTTCTATTAAGCTGAGGAGAGGTACCCAGTTTCTGCTATTTCGTGTCAGTAGCGATCATTTATCCATCCTTGAACCCGTTCTTAATACATCTGTTCTCGCAAGTGTCAACGCTGAACTGTCAATAGCCCCCCCACCTCTGAAAAGCCGGCGGCGTAGTATCGCATCTTCGCCTGGAAAGAGTACCGGAAGAGGCGACGCCATGGTTGAGTCTGACAGAGAGTCAGATGTGTCAACTACCATTGGAAGCTCTATCGCTGGAGGAGCAGATGGGCCGAGGTCAGTTGGTATCGGCTCCGTGCGAAGCAGGAGCACGAGGTTTACGCGTCTCACGAAAGCGAATTCGACCGACACGAGGCTAACCCGGGCAGAGAGCAAAGCCAAAGAGAAGGAAAGCAAAACCAAATCAATTTTTGAATGGAACGGTGGGGGACGCAACGTTTTCATTGCTGGGTCCTGGGATGCGTTCAAGAACAAACTCCCCATGGAAAGCATCCGTCCTGGGTATTACCGTATAGTGCTCCCAATTCCGTCGACGGACCGTGTCGAGTTCTATTTCTTCGTTGACGGGCACAGAAAAGTAGCTACGGATCTCCCGGCGATCGTTAACGAATTCGGGGAGCACGTCAACGTCAAACATGGTGATCCGACGATCATTCACAAAGCCGGCAGGGTGCGGAAGATTTTGTCCAAGATTAGCGGGTTAGACTTGTATTCACCATTCCAAGGTCAACAAATTGCGTCTATGATCATTTTCCGGATCTTTTACCTTTTAACTATCCCTGCAGGTTGCTATTACTTTTACTGGTTGATCGAAGTTGGAGGAAATACTGCGCAGCCATTCACGTGGTTGACTTACGTCATCGCAGAATTAATGTCCATTACTAGCGCTATTATTGGCCTTTTCGCGATGTGGAGTCCCGTCAAGAGAAGGTAAATATCTCAGAGTTCTGAGAAACGGCAGAGCTATCCACATACATTTGAAGACCGCTCTAACTGTTTCGAATATGTTTCATCCGTGTGTCTGTTCTTTTAGATGGCGATCGCTGGACTCGCTCAAGCCCCCTCTTCCTGCGGAAGACTGGCCGTCTGTTGACATTATTATTTCCCATTACAAGGAGGACCCGGATCAGGTGTTAGGAGCCATCCGATGTGCGTTGAATCTCGACTACCCCAGTCACCTGCTCCACATCATTATTGCAGATGATGGATATTTTGCATCGCCAAAGAATGTTGAGAGATCAGAGTTGGGCGTCCGCATGTATCAAATGTTGGCTGACGAAGCCGGATATGACCCTCTCATGGATGAAGTCATGCACGACAATGGTTTAGTTGAGCATTACGTCATCAAATCTGAGGATGAGCTCACTCGCTTGGATTGCGCGCTCGAATGTCATCACTTTGCTTTTGGTCCATTCAGCGACCAAGAAAAGAGAGCTCCTGGTGCCCTGCCACGCCTGAGTTTGATCGCGCGAGTGAAACCAGAAGATCATCATAACAAAGCAGGAAACATCAACAATGTGCTGTTCAACGCTGAGACGAATGGAAAGTTGATTCTCTTCCTGGACGCTGACATGCAGGTTTCAGAAAACTTTTTGTTACGTACCGTGCCGCTGATGTTAGAAGAACTCGCAGATGATGCTGCGGACCACATTCTTCCGGAGGATCTTGTCGACCCAGAGATTGGAATGGGGAACGGCAACTGTTCATGGAGGATGAATCGTGACGTCGCTTTTGTCCAAGCTCCGCAGAGATTTCACAACGTCTGCGCAGAGGACTACATGGCTCATAGAAACGCGGTCTTCTATGATGGCATTTGCACCGGCCGTGACGGATTTGGCTTAACACCGTTTGTTGGTACCAATGCAGTTTGGCGTCGTGAGGTGCTTAAAGAAATCAACGGAGTCGTGTACGGTTCTGTGACAGAAGACACGCTCACCTCGAATGAAGTCCACAACAGAGGATACGTGTCCAAGTACGCTGCAGAAGATATCGCATGGGGCGAAGCACCAGTTTCTGTAGCGGCTGCCATGTTGCAACGTCAGAGATGGGCAAAGGGGGCGGTGATGAACGGGATGAAGATTTTGCGAGATCTGCATAGAGAGAAAGGCAGCAGTTCTCACTATGTTCGTCGGCGTGGAGAGATTGATGAATACTACGAGTACCGCAGGACAGCGCGACGTCCAAACAATGCGTTTGTGCGGTTAATGTTTGGCCTTGACTCGACGCTGTACCCCTTCCTGGGTGTTTCTGCGTACTTGTACATGATGGTTTCCATCGCATATCTGGGAACCGCGAAGGCTCCTATTCGACCAGATTCCATAGCTAATTTGGCTGCAGCGTTCATCCTGTATTATTCGGTTCGATACATCACTTTCTACGCTGCTTTCTCCGGAGTTTCCTCAACCGACGTGCTCCGCTCGCAACAAACATGGTTCAGTTACAACGTGTGCCATGTGATGGGGGTAGTGGATGCATTGAACATGAAGGGGCGGATGGGATGGGTTGCGAACACAGGAGAACGAAACAGGAGGAACTGGATGGAATGGGTGAACATTGGACTGTGTGCGCTGATGATGAGCATGATCCTGTTCAGGTTGATTGCGTTCTTGTTTCTCGACGGGGGTTGTGCACCTTGGAATACGATTGGAGCGGTGTTCTTTGGATCTTATATTCTGTTCAACTTGTACCCCATGGCTTCCATTTCGCTGAATGAGCGACTGAGCTCGGCGTCTGACGAGGAGAAGGAACACAAGCCTCTGAACATGCCAGTGCCGCTGATCATATCGGTAGGTACGATTATTGGAGTTGCGTTTCTGGCCAAATGGGCGAAGACGCCTTGCGGAGTGTTGTCCACTGCACTTTCGTCCAGATGAATTAAGAGACGCGAGTGGCCGAATGATTTTTTTGCAAGTCTCGTTATGATTCGCAGCTGGTTGTAGCATTGGTGGCAAGAATCTCTTCGTTTTGTAGTAGGTCTTCTCTCTCAGACGTGTGAAAAAAGAAACAGTACATGTAGACGATGTTTGTGACATGCAGTTCAGAAAGTGCAGCGCAATATAAAAGAGGATTTAGGAAAACTCTCAAATATGGTAAGTTGTCCTCGGTAAGTCGTCCTGCCTTGCGACCTGCAAGGATGCCTACTCTAGCAACTCCACACCAAGCAGCGAACAAATGTTAAAGTTTACTATCTACTAGCGCTCTGGGTCCCACTAGACTACAGCTCGACGTGAGCGCACTTACACTACGCCTCCTGCGTGTCACCGCTCCGACAGCCTATAATAGCTCTTCCCCGACAGCGGAGCGAAGCCCGCAAAGCCAGAAAAGTTCATGGGCGCCGTAGTGACCAAGGCATTCGGCGGGAGTCCAATGGGGCCGTTCGCCAAGTACGGGCGGACGGGCGGCACGCAAGCGGGCACGGGGACTGGCTTCGGCGGCTTGTTCGGGGTGACGGTCTTCGTCGGCACGGCGTGGCGGCGCGCGGAGGGGGAGGGGGTAGCGGGACGGCCCGACTTGGGGATAGAGTCACGACGCTTCGGGACGGGAGCAGAGAGGGGAGCAGGAACGGGCGCGACGGGGTCCTTCTCCGCGTTCGGCGCGTGCGGGGCGTTCAGCGCGGGCGGGGCGTTCGGCGCGGGGTTCTGCGGCGGGCTGCGCCTGCGCTTGCGGTCGGGGCTGGAGTCCTCGACGCAGGCGGCGGTGGGGGCGGTGTGGTGGTCGCGCTTCCTCTTGCAGCTGATCTCGCTGTCGGGCGGGGGCGTGTGAGGTGCGGGCGGCATGTCGTCGTCGGGGTGCTTGCCGAGCAGGTGCTGGGCGAGATCGCGGACGTTGCGGAAGGGCTTGGCGTGCGCGGAGGGCGGGCAGCGGGCGCAGAAGGGGGCGGCGCGGTCGAAGGCGGCGTTGGCCTCCGCGACGGCGCGCGCGAGGTGGCGCGACAGGTGCGGGGGCAGCGAGTCGGGCGACGGGGAGAGGCGCAGCGAGGCGTGGTGCACGTCCAGCAGGTGGCGGTCCAGCTTGAGCGCCTTGCCGAAGCGCGAGGTGCAGTGCGGGCACGCGAAGGGAGGGAGGTCGGGCGCCATGGGGGGTGGGGGGGGGGCAGGGGCGGAAGGGGGAGCGAAGGGGAATTGGACGGCGTCGACGGCGGGGTGCGGACGGCGGGGTGCGGACGGCGTGCGCTGTGGCGAGGGGCGTGCGCTGTGGCGAGGGGCTACAAAGCGCACGGCGACGACGCCCTCCGGTCTGTAACGCGGTGAGATGCGGTGTAAGGAGGGGTGGAATGAGGCGCTGGGATTGGTGCATTTGCTAGGGTTACAGTACGCGGGCACGACAGTAGAGCGTCTCGTGCCGCCCGATCTCTTTCTTCGAACTGACTCACACCTCTCTCCGCAGGGCATATAGCATGTAGACGCACAAGTACTCCCTTGCTCCCTTGCCACAACAGTAATAGTCCAAATGGATTAGGGTGTGTCTTAACATGCCCCGTTTTCTGCAATTTGCTTTGCTTTGCCCAAAGAGGTGATTTGGCGTGCTATGAGTGGCTCCTACATTTTAATTTTTGAGTTTAAGAAAAGCCAGGGCCTAAGAAGCATACGGTATTTCTTAAGAATTTAAAAGTATTCCGGGCAAAACCGGGCAAGACAAGCAAAAACCAGCCTGTTAAGACATTAAGACACCCCCTAAGGGGGTGTCTTAACAGGCTGGTTTTTATTTCGATAAAGGCGAGCGAGGTGAGCCATGCGCCTTCGCACGTGTTCCACGTGTGCAATTAGCCGACGTGTACATTCCCACTTGCCATTCTCAGACCCCTTTGCTTGTATTGCTTGACCCTCCTCGATCCCCCCCGTCCTCTCCTACCTACCTACTATCCCTCACCGAGCCGCAACTATGTCCGCCTTCTCCTTCCCCCCCCTCACCCTCGCCACACGAGGCATGACAGGGCATCGGGCACCTGATGCACGCGCCCGGGGCGGTACTGAATGGAGAAATCGTATTCAACCAGACGTAACCGCCACCGGGTGAGTCTTCCGGAACTCTCGGTGAGGGAA